ATGGCCAGGAATGGTTTGAGGCTGGATCCCTGAACCTTAGGTATTAAGGGTGGGGAATGACAAATGGTAGGGCTTGGAGTTTCATCTCTGCTCCTCTTCTTCCAGTTGGAAGATATCCCCTTGGGAGGTCAATGCCTATTACTCCATGTCTGATAATGTGGCTGTTTTCCCTGCTGGCCTCCTACAGCCTCCATTCTTCAGTCCTGATTACCCAAGGTATGGAGACATTTTGCTGGGACAAGGAGGAAAAGGGAAGGTTGTTGGGAAGGATAGGAGTCCTTGAGGAAGAGAAGGGAATGAGAGAAGGAAGTCCTTGAGAGAGGAGGGAAGGAGAGGTGTAGAGGCACAGGACTCATGATGGGATATGGAGCCAATGGGAAGATAAAAATTAGAGCACTTGGGGGAGGTCAGTAAGTGAGCTCCCTCTTTCTCCCTGACCACACCCCCTCTCTCTTAGAGCTGTGAACTTTGGAGCCACAGGCAGTGTGATGGCCCGTGAATTAATGCACATCTTCAACCAGTACTGTGGGTAACAGATGGGTTCAAGAGGGAGGATGGAAGCTTTGGGTATGAGTTTCGAAGGGCCCTATGCATCTGAAGCAGTGGGGAACTTTGATGAGTCCAACATGCTGAATCGGAGACTTGTGGTAGGGGGTTGGGGATGAGTAGGAGAGTTTGTCACACTCTCCCTCACCCCACCCCCTACAATATTGGAGGGCAATATCTATTTTAACTGGAGGGTGAAAATATTGTGCCTGGGTTGGGGGAGTAAGTCAGTCAAAAGTATTTACTAAGTACCTACTATATGCTAGGCACCATACTAAATACTTGGGATACAAAGAAAGGTAGAAGATAACCCCTGCTTTCAAGGAACTTACAGTCTATTGAAGAGGGGCTATGGTGTCATAGAGAAAAATTTGTTGGAGAAGCAGCATTGGAGGGCAGAAGATGGTAGTTCAGCCTTGGATGGGAAAGAAAAGAAGCCAGACCTCTTATGCATGGAGTTTGGGGACAAGATAGGACAGGGCTTGAGTAGGACCATGAGCTGAGGCATAGTGACAAGGTCATCATGGAGAGAAAGCCTGGCCAATCTCAGGACAAAGGTTAATCTCCTGAGGAAAACTGTCCCTTGGTTGTCAGTACCTTGTGGCAAATCTCCATTCTCCCAATGCTTGTTACATCTCTGGTCCTGGGTGTTGTCCAGATTGGGATATCCTCTACCTACTCCCTTCCTTTTCAGATACACTTATCAAGATTTTCCTATACTTACCACAGTGGTTCCAGGGGGCTGCCAAGCCTGTGACATCCCCACCCTGCATGGGGAGCTGCTCTGCTTACAGCAACACTATGAGTCCTTCTCACTGCCAGCAGGGAGTACATTCAATAGCTCCCACGCTCTTTTGGAAAATGCTGCTGATATCGGGGCACTAGTTATTGCCATGCAGGTAATTGTGCTCTCCTGCCTGTGAAGAAACCTCCGGCAGGATTCCAGAGATGTAGATCTCTAGAGCTAAAAGGGTCTTCAGAAGCTATCTAGTCCAACCCCCTCATTTGCAGAGGAGGAAACTGAGACCCAGGAAGTTTGTGTGACACCCAATGTCATCCATTGGGTTTCAAAGGTAGATTTGAACCTAGATGTTCTGACTCTAGAGCATGTTCTCTTTCCAGGACACTACATTGCCCTCAGATTCTTATTCCCTCCCTCCAAAAAATAAAATTCTTTGGAGCTGTCAAGGGACATTGGCCACTGTTTATAAAACTCCTCCTTTAGTACAACCTTCCCACTCCCATTGAGTTCTGTGCCATCTTGGGTCATCTTATTTCCCACTCAACATCTAGGTTTGCCTAAGCCTCCAGTGTTACCTCCCTACCACATCCTCCAATTTCCAAACTAGCTTTAAGTCTTATCTTTCTTGGCTCTAATCAATGCCTCAATTTCTACTCTTTCTAAATTAAGCATAGGAGGGGAAGTAAGAGCAGAATATAGGACAAAGAAACTATGGGTTGTACATAAATGTAGAGTGACCTAGAACAGAGAAATTATGGGTTGTACATGAATGTAGAGTAAAAGGGGAAGGGGCTGTGTAGAAGCCAAGAACAGTTTTGCAAGGTGTATACTGGCTGTGATATGGGGAAATTGAAAACCATTGCAGAAAGCTTGTAGTCAAAAGCTCACTGGCTCTGGAGTTTTATGACCCTGAGTTTAATCTTGGCTCTTAACTTACTACCTGTGTGACCTCTGGTCCTCAGTTTCCTAAATACGGGTATTAACTCTATGCCATCTAATTTCTTTAATCAATGTCTTGGCTAAAGGTCTGGATAGCATGTTTATCCAATATACAGATGACACAAAGCTGGGATAGCTAACACTAGATGTAGCGGGGACCTAAACATCTCTTAGCAAGGTAGCCAATGGGCTAAGACCAATAGGACAAAATTTAATAAGGGCAAATATTAGTTCTTACAATTGGATTCATAAAGAGCTACTTCACAAATACAAGATGGAGGAAGGGGCATGGTTACATAGCAACGAAAATGATCTGGGAGCTTTAGTGAACTATGATCCAATGATTAATGTGAATCAACAGTATGCTATGGTAGTCAAACAAGTGAATGTGATTTGGGGGCACATAATGCTTAGGACTATATTCTGTTCTGGTCAAACCAAATTAGTAGTATTATGTTAAGTGCTGGGTGACATTTTTTCTTTTTCTTTTTCTTTTTCTTGTGTTAGGAAAGGCATTGATAATCTGGAGAGAATGGTTAAGAGTTGTCAGATCATGCCACATGATGATCATTTGAAAGAACTGGGGATAGTAAGCCTAGAAAAGAGAAAACTCAGGTGTGGGGGTGGGGACATGACAGTTGTTTTCATGCATTTGAAGAGCTATCATGTGAAAGTGGGAATTCCACTTGTCCACATTGGGTAGAGATAATGAGAATGATGGGGGAAAAGCACAACTGGGCAAATCTAGGTTTTATGTAAGGAACAACTTCCTAGTGGGTTTCTCCTCATTGGAATTCTTCAAGCAAATTCTAGGCTGACCATTAGCCTGGTGTATTGTAGAGTAGGCGCTCTTGTTCAAGTATAACCTAGATGGCTCCTGAGTTTCCTTCTATCTCTGAGACTGACCATCTCTAAATCTCATGATCTTATTTTTCTCCCCACCATCACCACCACCTCCAGGCATACAGGAAGGGGCAACAGAAGCATAAAGGAGAGACCATTCTGCCTAGCTTAGGCCTCAGCCCCTATCAGCTCTTCTATCGAAGCTATGCCCAGGTAAGGGAGCTGTCCCTATACACAACACAGACCTCTCCCTGCCTTGCCCAACTAAAATTCCCTACTTCTCAAAACCCCTTTCCCAGATGCCTCTTCTGCCTGGAATCTCTGTTCCTAGATGCTTCTCAGAACTCCTAACATAGATTCTTCCCAAGATTTCTTCCCTGACTCCCCCCACCATAACTCTTCTTCTGCAGACCAGGATCCTCACTACCTTGAAGTGTTAATTTTCCTCACAGATCCCTACTATCACATTCATTATAGACGCTAGCCCCACCACTTCTCCACTACAATAGACATCTCCCATTTCTTCCTCCTCCTAGACAGACAGACACACACACACACACACACACACATCCCAATAACAACAACGATGCTTTACTCACCCCAGATGCTGTAGGGCATGATGCCAACACAGTCCATCTCTCTACAGACACTCTACACAATAGCACAGACTATTTTCTATAAAACTCACCCCACCAATCTCATTTTATGAATTTGCTTCAGCAGACCTTAGGTACCTTACAACATTCTCCTAACACTACCATAGATAGCCACATTTCTCTCGCCAAATCTTATTCTATCTTTGATTTATAACCATCCTCTTCTATTCCACTACGAGAACTGGTCCACTCCAATCTCTCTGCCTTCTTATGTCCTTTCTGCCCCTTGAAACATTATCTCACTAATACTCATTTTCAACCCAGTAACCACCCTACCCATTCACTGTATCCATCTGACCCTTTAACTTAGGCCTGCTGCCCACTCCATCTTGACCTGGATGAATTTTCCTTCCTCCCAGGTTATGTGTGGCAGTCCCAATCTGCAGCATGCTCTAGACCTTCACAGCCCTCCTATTCTTCGAGTCCATGGGCCCCTTAGCATTACCCCAACCTTTGCCAGATACTTCAACTGCCCAAGGGGTACCCCTATGAACCCTGGTAGACGCTGCCAACTCTGGTGATCTGCCTGAAGATGCTGCTTGGCTATGAATCAAGCACTTAATTATAAGGACCAAGGTATCCGCCACTTTCCTGCTTCTAGAAATAAAGAAGGGTTTTATCCTCTCTCCTTGTTGTTTTTCCCTATTTTGTATTCTATATCCAAAATCCAGGACAGAAAAAAGAGAGCACTATATTGGTGGTTGTAAAAAAAAAATCCAATGCCCAGATTTGGGTTCTCATAAAAATAAGATAGGAAAGGACAGAAGAATAGAGGGATGTTGAAGTCTAATGGCTAGTCATTGAATTGGAGAGATGAGAAGTTATGGAAACAGATGTGAGGGTGATGAGGGAGGGTGGAGTTAGGGCTTTGGTTCATACAAAGAGAGCTACCTCCATTTGTTTTGGGGGGTTTATTACTGTTGCTGCTGCTTGCCTCCCCATCCCCAACCCTCTGGGCATCTCTATCACAGGGCAGAGAAGAAGAGAGAGTTGGGAGAGGGATATGGTGTCCCTGGCCCAGGGTGGTGATGTCCAAGAGGCTTAGTTGCAGAAATCAGGCAGTGGTTTCAGAAACAGATGCACTCCAGTTCCCAAGAGCCATCTGAGGCCAAGGTCTAGAACCAGAGAGTGGGAGCTAGCAAGAATCAGTGCAGACATCCCCTTGGGGAGTGATAACCCTGAGGTCGGGGGAAATCAGTAGGCAATCATGAAGCCGAGGTAGATGTCCAGTTCCTCATCCAGAAACCAGGCAATGACCTCTGCCTCCATGTCCCTCATAAAAAAAACAGGATGCTGGCGATGTTGAAGCAAAAGGCCAGGTCAAAGAGGTGGTCCCGCACAGCTGTGCTCTCTTCTGGTCCCACTTCTACTTCTGCTTCTTCCTCGTGTGAGTGCTCCCCGGTCAGCAACTGTAGCACCTCTCCAACCGAGGAAGCCACAAACTGTTCCTCTAGCTCTTCGTCCCCCTCACCTAGAACCAGGGAAAACAGCGGGGATTGAAGGGTTGTTTCCCGACCTCAGTTAGCCCTGACTTGACTCTTTCCCAAATCTGGCCTGAAATCAAAAGGAAATGTGTGGTGGAATCACAAGAGGCCACCCAATATATTGCAGAGTCTTAGGACTCTGGACTTAGGAGTCAAGAGAATGGCTTCCACATTGCCCCAGATACTTGTTAGCTACGTGACCATGGGTAGGTCACTGAGTCTCAGTTTCTCATCATTGAAATGGGATAACAATGCTTGCATTGCCTACCTCATATTCATGACAAAAATTTCTTTATAAACCTCAAGGTAGCATAAACATATGTTATTATCACCACAAGCCTAACCTTGACCAATCAGGGTTCCTAGTCTCTTTGGTCTCCACCCGAAAATACATAGTGTTTGGGGAGTAGTTCTAACTCTGGGGTAGGAGGAAATCATTAAGTGATCAAGTGGTAAGCACTCCCTCTGCTCTTGTTACCCTTAATACCCTCTGAATCCTGTATGAACATTGCTAAATCCCTAACTTTGATACCAACATAACCTACACTGTAGACCCTGACACACAGTGCTCCCACACTACCATAACAGGGACTCAGGCTGCCTCTGTCCCAGTCCAGATAGTAACCCTTATCCCAAGCACATCTCTGACCTTTAGCTTATCCCAGTCTTGGGCTGAAATGTAGGGAGGGTTACCACAGTCCCCTTTCTATTCCCTTATTCCCTCACCTGTCAGGGAGGCCATCTTTTCTTTTTGGCTCCTCCCATTCTCATTTGGGTCTCCGCTCTGAGGCTTCACTCCTTGAACCAGCAGCAGCAGCAGTAAGAGGCAAACCAGAAGCAATGGCCGCTGGAGGTTGGGGACCAAAGAAGTCATCCGCCCATTTAGTGGCCCTCTGCCTACGGGCCTCCACCTGCTCAGGGAGCAGCGGCCTACCCCTGCCCCTGCCCCTGCCCTTCCCCAACACCCTTACTTTCCTGTCTGAAGAACCTGTGACCTCATGAGCTCTATGATATCATAGCTTCCTTAGCTCTGGCCCCATATTCCAGCTCCACAGCAGGTTTCCCCTTGAAAGGACAGAGGAGAATAGATACCAAAGGACAGCATAATTTTTCACAGGGCTTACAGAATCTGAAGGCTAGAAGGGGCTTCCTTCAGTCATTCTATTCATTTTTAGTGGGGGTTGGGAGTGGAGGAAAGATTAGAAAAACAGATTCAGTAGGAGAATAGAAGACACAGAATCCTTAACTCAGCAGTTCTCTCTTTATAAAACATCACTTAGAGATGAGGGAAAGGCCTTAGATAATGGCGATGGGGGAGAAGGTGGGAGGAACACACCTGGTCTGTGTATATGGAGTGGACTCTGAGTCCACTTAAGGCTCATTACCCTTTCATTCATTCAAACCCCTATGACCTTATCCCTAATCTCTGGGTTTCCCATTAAATATTGTGCCCTCTCCTGGATTGATTTATCCTCAAATGTTCAGACTAGGATATCCTCTCATGAAGTATCTCTAAGTTCACATTTTCATAACTAAGAAGGGAAAACACTTGGCCTGGAGAACAAATATTTAGAAGCCAATACTCCTGGATCTTTTCCAAAGAGTTCATGGTTTGGAAAGTGGATGACAGGGAAAAGGGAAGGAGTTGAAAGGGGCAATTATAGGCAGGAAGGAGGGGTCATCTAAGGGATTAGATCTTGTCCTGGTAGGACTGTGGAATGTCTATAGACAGTCTTTCCTTGCCTGAAATGCGGCATGCCTCCTGTGAATTGGTATTTATCCCAGAACTTTGCAGGGAGACTTCCAATCCCTAAGCACTCCCTCAGACAGCCTGTTACCAGTGATTAGCAATGTCTAATTATCTGCTTCCAGATGTCCCACCTCACCTAGAAAATCAGCATGAGTAAAGGCTTGGCAGGGAAGAAGATTAGGGTCTGGGCTGGAAACGACTAGATGGTCAGCAGATGCTGTTGTCTGAGAGGAAGGGCAACCTTAGGCAAAGAATATTATTGACAACTGGAGTAGCACAACCAATTTGCACAAGGTAGGACTCTTGGAGAAAAATCATTCACCCAGCTCACGTGCAAGTACTTGGACCCACACATGCAGTCATCTGTATATTGATGTTCACAGGAATAAAGACACATGGCTGAGCACACACATGAAACTCACTCCCCATATGTGGCCAGATGAAGGAAGGAAGGAGAAGGAACCATAGCTTGGTGATTGGGTGAGAGTGGAAGGAGTAACTTCTGGTTGCTGGGAAAGGTGGATAAAACCTGAGTGTCTATGTGGCCTTGATAACCCCAGCCCTGCACCCAATGACCCTGCCAGTACAGGGAGCAGATGCCTGGGTGGAAAAATACTCGGGGCTTCTCCTGGCTGCAGTGGGGGGTGGGGCTTTCTAACTGCTGGCTGAAGGAGATTGCATTTTGTTTCCTTATGGGGTTTTATGGGGCATCAGAGTGTGGAAGGGAAGGGGGAAGGAAGGGAAAAGAAATAGGCCATTATATAGCTCCTACTATGCTCCAGGCACTGTGCTAAGCACTTTTACAAATATTATCTCATTTGATCCTCACAACAACCCTGAGAAGTATGTATGACTATGATCCCCATTTTAGAGTTGAGGAAACTGAGTCAGGCAGAGGCTAAGTGACTGCCCAGAACCACAAGGTTAGTCAGTGTCTGAGGCCAGATGTGTCTTCAAGCCTTTCTCAAGTCAGGCCCAGCATTCGATCGACAGTGTCACCATCTGAGTAGAAGAGGGATCACACAAGAAATAGAAGAGGCCTAACTTCTCTCCTTTGATCTCCTCTCTTCCACCCCCTTGCCTCAAATCTGCCTAATTTCCCCAAAAGAGGAAGACGCCAAGTATGGAAATGTTTGTTTTATTCCATAAAATTAAAAAAAAAGTTCCTGGGACAAAACTAAAAATTCCATATGTCCTATTTCTTTACTTTTCTTATAAGCAGGCAAAAAAAGTTTTGTTGCTTTGGGAAGAGAGGAATAATATCAAATTAAGCAGATCTGGAAAGGGCAGGACAAAGAGATACAGCAACATATCCTGTTTCCACCCCCATTCCAATCTCATTTCCCATCCCATCTAGGACACAGGACAGCATGTCCCTGGTGTTAAGTGACCCTAGAATAATGGGTTAGAATCTGACCACCCAAATTTGACTCTACTACTTTCCTACCAATGACTTTGGGAACAGGCCACTTAGATCTGGGCTCTCTCTGTAAAAATAAAGGTGCTGACCTAAATGATATCTAAAATCCTTTGATGGTATGATTAAGGTCAGCATTCAGTGAGGGAGAATATGTCTAACCAAGACCTGGGAGGTGCTTGGACAATGGTCACCAAAAAAGAAAAAAAAAGATTGTGGAAGGAGAGAATAAAGAAAAGAAAAGGAGAGAAATACAAGGTAGAGAGAACTGATCATAATAATTTACCTGTATATAGTATTTTATGAATATATACATTTCATTTCATTTTCACAATAGTCTTATGAGGTAGGTATTATTAAGTAGCATCATTCCTATTTTACAGAGAAAGAAGCTAAGAATTGGGAAGCTAAATTATTTACCCATGCTCACACAATAAGTGGCAAACCTGGAACTCCAATCTAAGCCTACTTGCTCCAGTTCTGATGCTCTTTCCACTGAGAAGGGCAAAACAGGAAAAAGAGAACAGGGGTTCTATTCAAATGGCCATCTCGCTAAATGTCTATGAGACTCCGGAGTGGCAGAGTTCTTCCAACGCTACACACCTCGCCCTTGCCTCAGATGCACACACTCCCCTTACAGAGGAGGAAGCAGAGAGAGGAAAATTAGCATAAGGCCACTCAGAAGGTCAGAGCAAGTCCTCCAGAAAGAAGAGTCAAGTATCCTGATTTGCATGATGGGTATTCTCCTTTCTTGCCTCCTTGGCTTGTGGGGAGGCCAAATCATAATGCCCTCAGTGCCCCAAACCCCTGGTTCACCTGTCTTGTGCGGCTCTGACCGACCTGGCCAGACTCCTTCTGAGGCTGCCCCTCCCACTTTCTCCCAACCCCTCAAGGATTAATTTTATGGGCCTCTTTTTTCCTTGGCAGGGGATCCTTACCTTTCCCTACTGCTGCTTATCAATCCATCTACCCACCCTCCCCAACCTTATCAGGCCCTCCATCTCCTCAGACAGTCCCTAAGGTTACAGAGCCATTCACCAATTCCCAACATTGCCTCAGCCTCTAGCAAGGTAGAAAAAAATCCCACAGAGCCTACCCCCTACTTTCTTACTCTCCACCCCCTCACCCTCCAAGAGAGGTGATTAGCTATGGGAAGTGGTAGGGAAACCAATCATTGTTCTTACAGTAATCTCCTCCCTAGAATCTTTTTCTTCTTCATAAGCTTCTCAGATGTATAGGTGGAAAGAACCATAAAGGCCAACCTCCTTATTTTACAGATAAGACAACTGAGGCCAAGAGAGTTTAAGTAACATGCCCAAAGTCACTTTTTTTGGAAATTCAGTCTCAGGTTCTATGACTCCCAATTTGACTGTCTTCCCATGGTATCCTTCCTTTCTTCTCTTTCATCTCTCATACAGAAATGGATAAAAGAACATCTAAACCCAAAGTGAGCATGGGTGAGGAAGGAGTAACCAAAATACTCATCCACAAAAGTCAGTTCTCCCCTCCAGGCCTCACATTTCTGCGATGCCAAATGATGGAGTTGGATTAGATAATCATTAAGGTTCCCTCCCACTCTCATGATATCTGAATCTCTTTTCAGCTCCTCAGTAATTCCCTATAATTTTAATAACCTCCCCAAAGGTCATTGGGTAATCTTTGGTGCTGCTGAAGCACGTTGGCCTCATCCAGGCTCTGGGGCCATCTCTGCTATGGTAAGTCCAACTTTCCCTCTTCTTGAGTGGAGGACCCCCGCCCCCACCCCATGTTCCTTATTCTCAGAACCAAAAGCTTGAGGGAATGTCCTAGGGTGAATGGATCAGGAAGCTCTTTTTCAGAGTAATCAGTAGGGATTCTCCTGGTTGTAAAGCCTTCCTTGAAGCATGTCTTAGCTTTCTGCAACTCCCATAATTAAGCCTCACAATTTTTAGTCCAAAAGTTGCATATCAGCCACACAATGAGAAGGACCCTGAAAGGGGAGTCAAAAAAGCATGGATGCTATCCTGAGTTCTGCCATCCACTTAGACCACTTAACCTCTGTGCCCTTGTTTTTACATTTGGAAATTTCAGTGAACGATTACCACCACCACCACCCCACCCCCTAACCTCACATACCATCCACAAGATTGTTGTTAGAATAAAATTATAGATCTAACCATGCTTTGAAAAGGTCCAAAAGTTACCCACGTGCACGGTGTTATTATGGTAAAATGACATAGTAGGGTTTAACCTCAACCCCTCCTTTTACTGCCAATAACGATCAAGACTCCTGGTACAATGGAAAAGAGAATGTGGAGTCAGAGGAACTGGGTTCAGATCTTACCGTGTGTGTGTGTGTGTGTGTGTGTGTGTGTGTGTGTGTGTGTGTGTGACTTTGGGGCAAATTATTTCACCTTCCTTATCCTTAGGGTTACCTAATCTGTAAAAACAATTAATCTCTAATATCTCTTTAAGCTCTAAGCCCCATGCTTCTATTCCAATAGAATGTAAGTTTCTTGAGGACAGGGGTTATTCCATTTTTGTCACTGAATTCAGGATAGCTGTCATAGCTGTGTATCTAGCAGATGCTTTATAAAGGTTTGTTGAGTTCCTTCTCTAACTCAGCCCTTACCCTTTGACCTTGCCCAAACTTTTTGTCATGTCTGGGTAACTCCACTCCTTGGCAGGCAAAGGGGTAGGTGCTGTCTCCCTCCCATTCTAGGCATGT